ATCACTTGATCAAATGATTTAATAAAAGGTATATAAAGTTAGAGAATTGCTTCTCCTAAGATAGATCTGTTAACAGCTGCCTGGCTACCTTGCGCCTTGCTGTTACATGTGTATGTCCTTCCTCCATTAGTGTGGTATGAAGGAGGGACAGTCACTGAATGACTTGTCCCACATTCTTTTTCTCTGGAAGTGAAGAACCTGGTCATCTCCATCATCCTGAATATCACAGCAAATCCATCAAGAATAATGGAATAAAAAAATCAGAAAATAATTTGATATGAGCAATAGCAAATCCTTTAGGAGTAGGCACAGATAATTGTCTTAGAGCATTTGTTAATCCTTTCTGCCTAAAGAGAGATGAAGTAAAAGAGGCAAATAGACTTGCCTGTTGGCAACAATGATAGTTGTGGGTTCTGCATTATAATGTATATAGGGGGCCCTGTTAGTGTTAAGTGAAAGTTAATGAAGAAAATCTATTACAATGTTGACTACTTACTACTTACTTATGAACAATATTAATGCAACTCTGTTTACTTGTATAGTTCTAATTCATCTGTTTGTTTCTTTAATTTTCTATTTCTTCTTTTTAAAACTACTGAGAGATCTTAACTGGTTTAAGAGTTTTTTTAGTGTACTTATATTGCATTGTCTTAGTCTGATATTACAGGTCATGTTTTGGTGAAATATGAACATGCAGTGCTTCTCCTTCTCCTGAGTTCATTTTTATTTTCAATCATCAATGTGTCTGCCTTCTCTTACACTAGTGCCTTATAAATTTTACTGGGAAAATCAAGGCAAGCATTTCTGGTGTTAAAAAGGTGACATCTGCCATTATTTATAGCATGACTTGTGGGAAAACAGAGAGGAGTAGGCAACAACAACCAAGAGGCCTCACCGCCTCTTCCTTCTCTTCTCTAGCAGTCTTCCCAGGTGATCCTTATATCCTCACCTCTCTGTCTTTACCACACACTTCCCAAGTGCTGTTTATATCTCACTAAGTGCTCCTTGTAATGATTGGCCTCAGAAAATCCTTTTATCCATCAAGCAATGAGCATTATTATTTTCATCCCTGGCCAACCTTTCCTCTTATTCCTTATTCCTACAATGACTGGATTTAAAGACTTTCTCTAGTGTGAATGGTTTTCTCTAGTTTAAAGTATTTTACTGGAGGGAGGTCTAACTGGAGAAATCCCATTAGATTTCTGTTGACAGGAATGAGAGTAAGAATTTATAAAGTAAATTACATTGTAATTTTGTAAATTACATTTCTATAAAGTATCTAAGTAGGTGCTTGACTCACGATTTGTCTATTATGATGTTCACACACACACAAAACCCTTCCTTTGAAAAGGATGTGCTTATTCCATAGATGTGCTATTCTAATGTAGGTTTTTTTTATTTTTCCCTTGTATGTTATTTGCTTTTTAGTAGCAAATTAACCAGTGAATTTTTAGATCAGTTATTTCTATTTCACTTTTTTTTTTCATATCCTTGCACAATTCTGATGTGGTGAAATGATTTTTTTTTTTGAGATTTGGAGATTTTTTTGTTTTCATTTTGGTTTTTGTTTTGTTTGTTTTTGCAAGTACACTGACCTCTGAGGTGATGGTAGGTTGTGGAAGAGTACCATGCACTTAACTCTTTCCTAGGAGTGGAAAGAATTTTTGTCATTGTGATTTTGTCCCATCATGCCTGGTAGGTAAACTTGTCAACGGCTTTTCTCAACATGAACGTTAGGTATCCTTTTTGATGGCATCCAGATAGCCTTAATATCTGGACCAATATATTAAATTTGACTTGACTGTGGGCCAACCTATAATGGAATGGAAATGGTTGAGGCACAATCACTCATATCCAGCTAAGCTAAAAAGCTCAATAATGCAGTGTATCCTTCCTGTGGTAGAAGGTCATGTATAAGCAATGTATATTCATTAGGGACTTTTTCTGGAGTCTTCCTAAAAATTCTAAAGAGCATGCCCTTTGCAAGTAGAAAAATTGAAACAAATTGGATTTTGACTTGCATTTATGGATACTTGGGTCATCCAAATTCAGTGCGCATATTCAGTCCCATCTGGCAAAACTCATGTCCTTATGAACTGACAATTCTTATCAGAAATACTTTATGCACAACAAGCTTGAATATTTCTTGCCTGATCATCAAAATTGATGATATGCAGATCATATTGATGACCATAGTGGTTTCTTAACACATGCAAAAATCAGATCATTTGGCCATGTCACACACTATTGGAGTTTTACTGTTATGATTTAGTAATAGCACATCTTCTGCAATAACAGAAGATGATAAAAATCTGTGCATGTCTGTTGATCATATCATGGCTGTGAGCCGTCAGGGCATTATGTTGTGAAAAATGGAAATATAATCTGAGGGTGAGGTAGAAAAATAATTGATAATAGAGAGCAAACAATTAATACTCTGGCAAAAGAGTATTGAGAAAACTTATTAGAAATCATTTGTACAATTCTAGTTATCAGTTTTCAAGAAAAAAGAGCAGAAGCTAAAAAGATCTTCTTGGAAGTTGTTGCAAATGAGATTCTATTTATTAGAGTAAGCTTGGGAGTTGAGAAAAAAAATGCCAATAAAGAAATACCATTTTTTCCCGAAAGTACAAAAACAATGTGGAAACGAATGCTAGTAACAAGATATTTAACTAAGACATAGTGTGAACAAGGAAAGAACCAGAAATTGGAGAGTGTTTTCTAACTGTAAGAGCAATGAAGTTCATTATGTTACTGAGATGAGATTTGGAGAAAGCAAACAAAAAATCAAGCAAACAAAAAAAAATCTCTTTAATGTGGAGTTTAAGCACTTTATAAAGAGATTATATAGCACTGTTGTTTGTGATAGTAAAGAACATAATCTGTGACTTAAGGATGTTTTTGGCAGTATACTTGCAAATCAGAGCACTGAGAATATTGAAAATTGTTTTAATTTAAAAGAATAATTGAATAGGGAATGGCATTAATACCAAGAGCATTTGGGAAGATGCAATAATAGGATTTTAAAATTGCATCTTTTTAAACTCACATTTAGAAATGAAAATTCTACTCTATTAAAGTTGCATAAATAATTCAGAAGAATGCATATTTTTAGCTTATAAATATATATATAAATTGTGCAGACAGAATATTAAATTTTGTAGCTGCACATTAAAGGATTCCTTGAAATAACTTGTTATAGTATTTTGCATTTATGTTTCATTTTAATCTTGACAACAGCTTTTTTCACAGCACAAGCTATGAAATGCGTGTCAACTGACGTGTAAATTTTTACTATGAACTCGTGAGGGACTTCTCTGTGAAAAATGTTAAAAGCAGTGTAGATTTTTCAGGTGTTAGTTTACTGTGATTTTCTTAGCCTCCAAGCCAGATGGCAAGTCAAGCAAGCACTGAGTGTTATTTGCTAGCATGAATTGAGGAAGGAGACCAGTTTACGATTTGTCATATCTGGCCCAAATAAGTTGTATACATTGTGATAAATTTATGTCTTCTTTCACAAAAGTAGCATGCCATGATGCCCCTACAAGAAAGGATGAAGGAACAGGGAGATGATAGAACATTTCCCAGTGCACTTTGGCGTGAAGATACTGCAGTTCTCTAAGATTTTTCTCGTGTCAACACGTTCCAAGATTCTGATAGCGTGAGTCACTCAGTCCACAGCTAAACACATCTTTAGTTTGCTGAGCAAAAGTTGTCTGTCTGGGACATTTAAATACAAATTCTTTGGATATTTGTTCTACACTGACTTTGGTTTATGAACCACAAGTTTTTAGCTTTTTATTCATTACCTGGAAAGATGGCACAACTGTGTTAACTAGCAGTGACCTAAGCAAGCTATATATCTGTTTGGAGATGTATATCTTTTGCAGTTTTAACCCATGTACTAAATTTAGCTGGTCAGAAAAGACTCCATGTTTGAAGTATTTTCAAAATGTTACGTATAGAGAGTATTTCTTCTCACAGAAGATATGTCTAGCATCATATATAAAATTATTAGAAAATGCAGTGAGCAAGTAATTAAAATGTATAAATGAGTAGTAGATTGTAAATGAATGTAATCTATGTCACACAATAGGAACTTTTCTGAGCTATGACAAACTTTAACATGGTTAAGGTGTCCCAGCCTCTTTTGAGATCTGGGGGATCTTTCAGTTTTACAGCCATATCGCTTTTCCAGAAGGCTTAGCTGCCCATTAGTCATCATTAAATGTCACTTTTTTTTCAGATCCCTGTGTATCTGACTTCTAAACTGGCGTGTGCAAACTTGGGAATAGCCTGGAGAGAAATGTTGAAGCATAGTCATTGTGCCTGTGTTCTAGTTTTCAGGAGAGTGTGTCATCCCCTTCTCTCCACCCTCCAAATGAAACTCTGCAATTTTACCCTGTTACCTTAAAATTAGCCTTCAGAGAAGTAAAGTGAAAGGAAAAGAGAGAGTACCTCAGTTTTCCTAAGCACAGGTCAAAAATGTTTTTAAGAATTCAGGTAACAGAAAAGAAAGAAAACTCTACTTAAATTTCCATCCAAAATTAAATACAAAATGTTTCCTTTTATTTCCTGAATTTGACTCAGAAGGTGTCAGTAAACTCCCATAATAAGGTAACAACAAAAGAAGGGCTCATACTGACCCACATCAAGAGTCCTTCTAGTGAGTACCCAGGCTCTGAAGATGGTCAAAACTTTTTGGGGAAACATTTAAGAACAGAGCAAGTGTGTATTATATCCCTGATCATGTTTTGGAACAGAGCATACACACAGACTCTTTCTGGTAAGTAGTATGGACCATACTGCATCACAGTTAGGTCTCTTGACCTACGCAGTCCCATGAAGCTATTCCAGCAGGGTTTGCATGCTCA